ACACACACACACACACACACACACACACACACACACACACACACACATAAAACATCATCACCAACTTTTCTGTAATGTGCTAATGTAATGAATCGACATGTAAATTGAGTAGATAAATTAGTGAATTAGCAGTAGATTCCTCTTACTGGATCATCTCTCTCCAGTTTTAGCTTCTCTCCATTGGCTCCCTGTCAAATCCAGAATAGAATTCAAAATCTTACTTCTAACCTACAAAGCTCTCAACAACCTAGCTCCATCTTATATTACAGATCTTATTGTTCCATATTTTCCTAACAGAGCTCTTCACTCTCAGACTGCAGGTTTACTTGTGGTTCCTAGAGTTTCCAGCAGCAGAATGGGAGGAAGATCTTCCAGTTCTCAGGCTCCTCTCTTGTGGAACCAACTTCCAGTATTTGTCCGTGAGGCTGACACATTGTCCAGTTTTAAGACTGGGATTAAGACTTTCCTTTTTGCTAGATGAGCCTGGTTCTGCTGGAGGTTTCTTCCTGATAAAGGGAGTTTTCGTTTCCACTGTCTCCTTTGGGCTTGCTCAGGATGGGAGACTGTGATGAAGTGAAGATTATTCAACATAATCTGCTGCTTCCTTATATATTAAACTTTTAGTAATTGTCCTATAATGTATGTGAATGTTTTTGTACAGTGTAATTAATGACACAATAAAATGAACTGAATGGAATTGAATTGAATGTCAGCTCTTCTGCACCTCCTCTGCACCTCCTCTGCACCATCCAAGAAGCACCATCTGACTAAAAAGGAGCTCACTGTCACCCACCATGTAACAGAGAGAACAGGAAGGAAAAACCTCTGCTGGCTGGTGAGGAAAAGGAGGAAGGAGAAAGGTGAGGCTGATCAGAGACTGATGCAGATCTGACCTGTCTTTGAAGTCCTCTGCGTTGGCCTGAAGGTTCTCCGTTTGCAGCATCAGCTGAGCGTTCTCCAAGATGGCTTCACTGACCTGCAGAAAAGATGGGAAATCACATCCCTGACAACTTTCTGTTTTGTCTAATGATACTCTAGAACCCCCTCCTCACCCGTCTGTAGACTCCCTCCCTCTCTTCTCACCTGTCTGTAGACTCCCTCCCTCTCTTCTCACCTGTCTGTAGACCCCCTCCCTCTCTTCACACTGGTTCATAGACCCCCTCCCTGTCTTCTCACCTCCCTTTTTTCTCACATGTCCATAGTCCTCCTCTCTGTTTTCTCATCAGTCTACAGACTCCCTCACTCATTTATCCTTTGTTCATAGATCTACCTCCCTCTTCTCACTTGTCCATAGACCTATTCCCTGTCTTCTCGCTTGTCTGTAGACCTCCCCAGTCTTCTCATACATATGTCTGTGGACCTCTTTCCTCTCTTCTGACCTTTATTAAGACTTCCTCCCTCTCTTCTCACTTGTCTTTAGGCCTCCCCATCCTTCCTTCCTCACCTGTCTGCAGACCATCTCCCTCTCTTCACACTTGTCCGTAGTCTTCTCATATGTCTGTCTGTAGACTTTCTCCATGTTCTCACCTGTCCATAGACCTCCTCCTCTCTTTTCACCTGTCTGTAGACCCCTCCCTCTTTTCTCACTGGTTCATAGACCTCCTCCCTGTCTTCTCATATGTCTGTAGACCTCAGTGTCCTCACCTGTCCACAGACCTTCTCCCTGTCTTCTCACCTCCCTTTTTCTCACACGTCCATAATCCTCCTCTCTGTTTTCTCATCTGTCTGCAGACTCCCTCCCTCATTTATCCTTTGTTCATAGATCTACCCCCTGTCTTCTCACTTGTCCATAGGCCTATTCTCTGTCTTCTCGCTTGTCTGTAGACCTCCCCCAGTCTTCTCATACATATGTCTGTAGATCTCCCCCATCCTTCCCTCCTCACCTGTCTGTAGACCTCCTCCCACTCCTTCCTCAGTGGTTCCCAGGCTCCAGCGCATGATGCTTTGCGGTCCAGACTCAGGCGGATCTGGTCCTCCAGTTGCTGGTTTAGCTGTTCCAATGCCCTCACCTTGTCCCGATACTCCACAAGGCAGCTGTTCAGGCCAACGGTTACAGCTCCGCTCCCCGCTGGCCGGTGCATAACTGGGGTGGCACTGCTCCTCATTCCCTGCAGGAACACACTGCTTATTCCCAGAGCTCTGCGGGACACCCGTGTTCCCAGTCCAGAAACCATGTCTCCTGATGGTGCAGAGCCCACAAAGACACCACGAGGTGTGGCAGCACCCATTCGCCCACTGGAGGCTGGGACCAGGCGCTCCGCTGTGGCCTGTCCCAGGAAGGACGAACGGCGTCGCGGCAGAGGCATGATGCTCAGCAGCTTCCAGATTGAAACCGCTCAGGTCTACTCGCTGCTGGGATTTATGGGAGAACGGGGTTCTGGAAACAGTACAAATTTTATTCAGCAGCTGTTTGTATTGCAGGCTTTTGTTCCCGTGGAAACACAGAGTTGCAGTTCAGCTGCATCAGCAGTCAGGGAGGAGGGGTGTTTGGGGGTCAGGAAGAGTCCTGAAGCAGAGCGAGCCTCCCAGAACTCTACATGCTCTGTGGACTGAATCTGGACTAAACACATGGAGAACATTGATTTGGTTCCTCCACTTCCCCTAATAACCAAACTTCTACAAATCAAATCTCTCCTACAAGTCAATCCTCAGTTAATCACACCTTCTCTTTTTCTCCATTCTCAGTCAGTGAGGTCAATAAACTGTTAAAAGATCTTGATCCTAAAAAATCTGCAGGTCCAGATGAACTTCCACCTTATTTCTTAAGGCTGGCTGCTCATATCATCACAGTCCCTGTGACCCACATCTTCAATCTCTCCATAAGACAAAACTCCATCCAGACACTTGAAAACAGCCTTTGTTCTTCTTTGCTGAAGGGAGGAGACCCCCCCTCACTGAACAACTATGGACCAATCTCTAAACTCTGCATTTTAGCCAAGGTTCTAGAAAAAACTGATAAACTCTCAAATCAAAAATGACCTGGACTCATTTAACATCTTACCTCCACATCAATCTGGTTTCAGGAAACAACACAGCACAACCACTGCTTCACTGAAGGTTCTTAATGATGTTGTTGAAGCACTGGATGCTAAGGATTATTGTGCTGCACTTTTCTTAGACCTGTCTAAAGATTCTGACTCTGTGGATCAGAACATCTTGTGTCATAAACTCTCAGAAATTGGTTTCCTGCATACCGCCAGAACAGGAGCACAGAGGATGCAGTCTCCTTAGTGCTGCACTCTGTTCTCTCACACTTGGACAACAAAAACACCTTTGCCCAGATGCTGTTCATAGATTTTATTTCAGCATTCAACACAGTCATCCCCTGAAAACTCATCACAAAACTCACAGACTTGGGCATTAATTCCCTCATGGGCAACTGGTTACTGGACTTTCTGACCAACCGACCCCAACATGTCCGGCTGGATAACCACTGCTCATCTACCATCACTATTAACACCGGTGTACCACAAGGCTGTGTGATGAGTTCCTTCCTCTACTCTCTCTTCACCCATGACTGCAAACCTGTTGATGGTTCCAATACCATCATTAAGTTTGCAGATGACACCACGGTGATCGGCCTCATCAAAGACAACTATGAGACCGCTTATAGGGAGGAGGTGGTTCGTCTGGCTGAGTGGTGTGACAACAACAACCTGCTGCTCAACACCGAGAAGACTAAGGAGCTCATCGTGGACTTCAGGAGAAACGCTGGCCCACATCCACCCATCTACATCAAGGGGGCGGTGGTGGAGCGTGTGAACAGCTTCAAGTTCCTGGGTGTCCACATCTCCGAGGATCTCACCTGGACGACCGGCTGTTCCAAACTGATCAAGAAAGCTCACCAGCGTCTTTTCTTTCTGAGGACTCTGAGGAAGAACCACCTGTCCTCAGACATCCTGGTGAACTTTTACCGCTGCACCATTGAGAGCATCCTGACCAACTGCATCACAGTCTGGTACGGGAGCTGCTCTGCCTCAGACCGGAAGGCGCTGCAGAGGGTGGTGAAAGCCGCCCAACACATCACCGGAGCACCACTTCCTGCCATAAAGGACATCTACAGGAAGCAGTGTCTGAAAAGGGCTGGAAAATCATAAAAGACTTCAGCCACCCAGCACACAGACTCTTCACCCTCCTGCCCTCTGGGAGGCGCTACAGGAGCCTTCAGACTAAAACCACCAGGTACCGGAACAGCTTCTTCCCCACAGCTGTCACACTCCTTAACTCTGCCTCCTGACATCTGAATAACAACAACGGTCTGTATTCTCATACACACAACAACAGCACATGGACTGTAACACCACCACCTGCACTTTCATCCGTTAGCCCACTACTGTACAAACTGTACACATAATCTACTATCTACTGTTCATAAGTACTCACATCACCTTCACATCAATGTGAAGAAGACAAAGGAGATGATTGTGGACTTCAGAAGGAACAAAAACATCTACACCCCCCTGAACATAAGAGGATCTGCGGTGGAAGTGGTCTCCAGCTACAAGTACTTGGGTGTGCACCTGAACAACAACCTCAGCTGGAGCAACAACACCACCAGCCTGATGAAGAAAGCTCATCAGAGACTCTACTTCCTCAGACGGCTGAGACGAGCTGGTCTGGAAGCTCAGTCCTCACCTCCTTCTACAGGTGTGCAGTGGAGAGCATCCTGTGCTCCAGCATCAACGTGTGGCATGGAGGCTGCACAGCTGCAGAAAGAAAAGCTTTGCAGAGAGTGGTGAAGGCTGCACAGAAGATGTTGGAATCAGTCTCCCCACCATCACAGACATCTACACCTCCAGATGCAGGAAGAGGGCCACCTGCATCATGAAGGACCCCACTCACCCAGCACACACACTTTTTGCCCCACTCCCCTCAGGAAGGAGGTTGAGGAGCATTAAGTGTAGAACCACTAGACTGAGGAACAGCTTCTACCCTGAGGCTGTTAGACTCATGAATCTCTAACTAGAATAATCACTGTGAAAAACCATATCATGTTGCTGCTGATCTGTTTCATGTTGCTGCTGATCTGTTTCAATGTTGATGTGTTCATGCGTGCACATCTGCTCACAGACTCATGTTCATGTTTGTGCTGATGTTCAATGTTTTATGTTATGAGTGCTTAGTGTATATTTAGTTGATGTTTTTCTTAGTTCATATCTTAGATGTTATTACTGTTTTTCTTATACATTTTATTGTTGGATGTAACTGGGACCCTGTGAACATAATTTCGTTCCACCACATGTACCACATGAGGTGTGAATGACAATAAAGAAACTCTGACTCTGACTCTGACTCTGACATACTTATATATATATATAATTTTTGGTCTTTTATATAGCTGTTTATACCCCTTCATATTATAACCTGTTCATAGTCTGTACACTCACAAACTGTATATGTTTATACCTATAGCATATTCAAAGCAATTTACTGTATATTGTACTATATATATCTACCAATTTATTTTTCTTGCTAAGCACTTCTGGATAGATGCAAACTGCATTTCGTTGCTTTGTACCTGTGACATGTGCAATGACAATAAAGTTGAATTCTATTCTATTCTATTCTATTCTATTCTATTCTATTCTATTCTAT